GTGCACCCTTCGTTGCTTCTGCGCTGCCCTCAAATCTTTCCAAGGAACATGCCAGCCTCAAGAAAATCCTCTGGGACCAGCAAAAAGCACTCTTTGCCTGAAGCACCTCCAGTGCCGTCAGACGTCGCCGCCCCCTTTTCTTGGGGGTCGGCGGCACGGCGTCAGCCCTTAAATAAGAATGAAAATATTTGAGGGTCGGTTCCCCCTGTTTGTGGAAACTGCCATTTAGGATTTAGGGTTTAGGGCTTAGGGCTTAGGGCTCTTATGGGGCAACCAACAATATTCACCACATCAACACACTGCTTCAACAGCATTGTGGCCTTTCAGGGCAGCAATGTAGAACGGGGTGGCGCCACTCTTCAGCGGCTTGTCGACTTGCGCAGACGGCTCACGCAAGAGAAGCCTCGGCTTTTCAGTTACTCTAATATCGGCGTATAGTAAATAATGGGGCTTCCGCGCTACAGCATTTTAATGTAAAACTCCTTAGGCCCTACAACCTAACCCCCTAAACCCTCAACATAATATAATAGCTTAGTTTAACCTCCTTAAAACTTAAATCCGAAACATAACGCAGTAACTTAGTTTGAGCTCCTTAAACCCTAAACCCTCAACATAGTATAGCAACTTAATTCAAGCTCTTTAACAGGAGCCCAGCAGCTCCACGATAGCCTCGTGGCCCTTCTGGGACGCGATGAAGAGGGGAGTTGCCTAGAAGGTTGCTTCTAAGTTTGATATGCGCATAAAAAGGGGTTTAGGGCTTAGGGTTGAGGGTTGAGGGTTGGTTTAGGTTTTAGGGTTTAGGGTGGGATATATAGGAGTTATACAGGGAGGATATAGGGATAAATGGGCAATTGCATGGGATTATGTTTGTATTGGGCTATCTAGGAATATGAAGGAGAATGGAAAAGTGGCCGCTACTAATTAGGCTTGGGGGTTTAAAGAGATTACACTAATCAATCAAGAATCAAACGGTTAAAGAGACTGGCAAATGAAATGGAAACTGGGGTAGTATAGCGGCTGATCGGGATGATTTGAGTTATGCAGGTTGGCTAAATTGGGGGTACCTTCTTGGGGGTCCCTGTAAGGAGAACTATCAAATTTTGGGGGTCTATATTGGGGTCCCCCTATTTTGGGGAAACTACCACTTGCTCAATTCCACCGAGTGGCATTGTTGCTGTTGGCTAAGTCTTTGTCTGGCTTCTGACTTGAGGTTCGTGAGGGACACAGCAAGTAGCGCACCACCTCTACATGTCCATTCTGGCAAGCAATGTATAGAGGCGAAGCCCCGTCCTGCTTGGCCTCATTGACTTTTGCCTTTGATTCAACCAGAACTCGGACCACCTCAAGGAAGCCTCCCTGGCATGCAATGAACAGAGGCGTCTCCAGCGTTTGTAGGCTTTTGTTGACCTCTGCCCGAAGCTCAATAAGCATCTGCACCACGCTGAGGTGTCCATTCTGGCAAGCAATATACAGAGGAGTTGCACCGCCTCGTTTGGCCCTATTCAGCCCAACATCCTCTCCAATCTCCTGCCACAGGACCTTGACAACGGGTAGGTGGCCGTTCTGGGCTGCCACGAGCAGTGGACTTGAGCCATCCTCGGTACACGTGTACACGGCTTTCATGTCCAGGAGCAATGCAACGACTTTATCGTGGCCGTTCCTGGGTTGCTGTTAAGGAACTTAGATTAAGTTACGAGAAAAAAGAGAGAAAGCCTATTATGTACTATATTCTGGAGCCCTATATCCCCTAAACCCCTTAAACCCACATTATGGTACATAACTCTTTATACCCATATTATGGTAACGTAATTTAAATTCCTTAACTGCAACCCAGGTTCTGGCAGGCGATGAAGAGGGGCGTGGCCTCCCCAACAGCCTGGGATAGGGTTTGGGGGGGGACCCTATACAAATGGGTACTTCCCAAAATTGGGGGTACTTTTTTGGGGGTCCCTATAATAAGGATTTTAATATTTGGGGGTCTATATTGGGGTCCCCCTATTTGGGGAAGGTACCAAATCAAATTTGGATGGCTTTAGAGGGAGCGTATAGGGATTACAATCCATAGTCGCTGAAAAACACACCCAGGAATATCCCAAACTGAAAGTAGGGAGTATGATCCATAGTAAGAGTACATCCGAACGGCTGGCTTGTCCAGAAGTTGACGAATCTTCTGGCTTAGCATCTCGCGTCCATGGCGGTCCTGAGGACTTGATGCCTCAAATCAGGCGCAGCATACCACAGGGGTCTCCATGTCTGTATAAAGGGGTATATAGGGATACATAAGGGTTCTATAGTTGGGTAAAAATTATATAGGGGCTTCATCCCTTTTTAACTGCCCGGTACCCAGCCTGCTTTGCGCGGGACCCATGCTCTTCAGGGGCCTCCTGAAGCAGGTACTTGAGCACCTTGGCAATGGCAAGCAAAACACATGAGCCATCTAAACTCCCAGTATCCCCCTTAATAGCCCCTATAGCAATCCCCTATACAATGCCCTGTATAACCCCTTTAAGGAGTTTAGACTATGGCTCACATGGTCGGAGTCGCTTGCGGCTACCCGCCCTGGCTCGATCTGGTATCAATCCCTAGTCACTCTGGTCATGAAGACATACGCAAATCTGAAGATGATAACGACAACTATCGCTTGTTGGCTTTCCTCCGGAGCTTTAGCTCGGTCACACACTGAAGCATACGTGACACCCACGGGTTAAGGAAAGAAACCAAACTACCGAAAAAGTCGGCAACGTGACTTCTGCACGACATGTCGATTCATTCCATCAGCAGTGAATGAAGTAGCGTGGGAACGACATCAAAACTCTGGAAAGCTCGCGGCACTTCCAGGTTGCCATTTTGAGCAGCTATGTAGACGGGGCTCACACCGCTCCTGTGCAGCTTGCTGGTCTCATGCCCAAACCAACACTGTTGTGACGCGTAACAGCTGGCATCCCGTCGTGTGCAATTCAGGCTTCTCTATGCATGAGCTCGAGCATCACCAGACAAACCACTTCCCATCGATTGAACCAAACATCATAAACCCTACACCCTACATGGCCCTATATGAGCTGGTGTCCATGTTCCCCATCTCAACAATATGAGCTATAGTCTGAACTCCTTAAGGGGGGCTATATAGGAGATTATATAGGGGAGTATGATAGGGGTTATTAAGGGGCATACTAGGAGTTTAGACTATAGCTCATATGGACATAGGTCCATATTTCATTGCTTGGGAATCCCGGCGGCTCCTGAGACACAATGTCACATCGCTGCCGTACCCCACAAGAGCCTTCACGACGTCCAAGTGATTATTCCTTGGCACGGGTTGAGGGTTCATGGTTAAGGGTTGAGGTTTCCACTTGTTGTAGAGGACTAGTTTGAAATGCCGATAGACCGGCACTTCGTGCCCGCTCGCCAGAAATTTGCGTTCAGAGACCGCTTAGCTCAACTCGATCCCTGCAAGCATGCGCAACCCAACTTTTCAAATACACAACAACCGCCGGTTTAGATGTTGGCCAGTGACAATGCAAGCATGCGAAGCCTGCAGCGATTCAGAAAGAACTGAGCTTGACAGCGCTACAAGGCTGAAGCGCCAAATCATCTACAGATTCCTAACGTCACTTTTAGCTGCCATGGCTCTGCGCAGACACAAAGATCGGGCTGGCCCCACTATTCATGCAGAGGTCCTGCGGCAAACCCGCTGCAAAGGTTGATGCTTGGCTATCAAGTTGTCTAGGGATGTATAGGGTAAGCCTCACAACCACAGCTGACGCGTAAGGAACTCGTGACATACAAGAAATTGGAATTTGGCCCGAAGCCCAATTCAAACTTTTAAAACCCATTTCGATGATGGTAAGACCTTATGTGCGGCTACCGCTGATAGATGTGCAAAACCCCCCCCTATAGCCGGAACATGCAAAAGCTCAGAAACCCTGACGCCCACTGCAAACCAACAATGTGATGTTGTTTGTCTCTAGCCGTAACTAGCTGCAAATCCTAAACCCTGCAACACTGAACCCCGAACACTGAACCTTAAAGGGCGGTCCTTCTGCACAACTTCCAGTGATAGAAGAAACCTGGCGGAACATGCAGCCAGCGATGCTAGGTCTAGGGTTTAGGTAAGGAGACAACCAACAATCAGAGATACCCTATTGAAGAGACCTGGGGCTTCCATTTCATTTCCATCTGGTCTTTCATTTGATTCTCCATTAGCAGGGTATCGTCCCTAAACCCTAAATTTAGCAGCTTTTCCATTTTTCCTACATAACCCGTTGTAATCCTACATTATTAGGGTTTCAGTGTTCAGGGGGTAGGCTTGTTCTGGCTACTAGTGCATAAGTAAAGGTTTTGTCGGGAGTATAAAAGGGTGATACATTGATTATAAGGGGTTTTGTAGGGACGATAAAGGGATTATGTAGGGATTGTAAACGGGTATGTAAGGATTACAAAGGGTAATTAAGCATCATAAAGAGTTATATCGGATTCTATAGAAATTGTGCAGGGTTATATATAGGGACCAGAAATGGAATATAAACGGATTAACCCCAAACCCTCGACATATAAATATCGCAGTTTCCATTTTCCATTATCCCTATATAACCCGAATATATACCCTATTATAATATTGTAAGCGCCAGCAAGTTCCGAGCCAGGCAACTCAACAGTGGACAGGTTGCCGTTCTGAGCGGCGATCAGAAGCGGCGTCGCTCCGTCCTGTGCCTACAGCCGATCAGAATGGAATCATGTAAGGATTACACAGGTTCATGTAGCAAGCGATAGCTAACCCAGCACCTCACTCCTTACTCGCTCCCCATCTCCCACCAAAGCATTCTCAACCCGCCCACCAAAATCCACAAAACAACCTCATAAATGCTTTAAGTTATAGATTTTATACCACATAACTTAAACCATCCTACCCTGTTTTGTTATGTTCTTCGCTGGATACATGCCTATACCAATCATAATATATTTCTTTCCTCTTACATTTCAAGCAACAGAAATATTCTATGCCATAATGCATTTCCCTTTTGTCTGGTCGTTCCAATTTTTCACCGTCCAAACTTTTCTGTAAGAAATACTGGTGGTTTTTAGATTTTTCGTGTTGCGTTTTCTTACACTTCTTAATGTCATAGTCGCATAACTGGCAATGATAAATCTTTTGGTTGTATTCTCGTATCTTTGCCTGTCCTTCTTCGCTTTGCCTATACTGTTTTCTCTTTTCCTTTATTTCGTCCATATTCTCTTCCACATACTTTTGTCTGTATCCTTTCACTTTATCAGGATTATTCAACTTCCATTGCTTCTTCGTTTCATCTCTCTTCATCTTATTCTGCTCTCGGCAACCATCACAAATATGAACTCGGACACGGAACATATCAGATGGATAGTCATCACCACATTGAATACATTTTTTAAAGTCTGCGGTCATCCCTACCATAGTAAGGCGTCATCCCTTTAAACCTTTTTTCAACCGTGAGGTGTGGGGTAAGACCCTAAT